TTACCGTTAATCTTGAACTCCTTCAAAATCGTAGATGGATTGAGGAAATCGGTTTCCGGATTGGTAATGTCACTTCACTTCTTGTGCTTGTGGTTACTCGCTTTAGGAATCTACGTGTCTTCCCTCTAAACGTATCCACCTTTCGAAATCGGGTTCCGACGATTGCTTCTTCGCTAGTAGAAACTTCTCGGTTTTTCAATAGTATAGAATATATATATTTTATAAAGAAATATTTCAAGAACTTTTCTTGATATTACACTCAACTCTTTGAATGTGTTTCTCTCTTGGAAGAACTTTGGAAAAAAATGACTTAGCAAATTTTATGTAAACTCTTTACACATATTTATACTAAACTTTTTAGTATAAAATAATCAATATTTAGTAATATTTAAATAAAATCAGATTTTATTTAAATATGATTTACTAACTATTGACTTTTATATAATAAACAATGTGGAGTGGTTCTCAACCTCTCTTAACCACCATTTATTATAATCTTTAATTATTTTAATCTTTAATTATATTAAAGATAAAATAATAAAACATTAAAATAATAATTCTTGAAAATATTTTTCAAGACTTTATTATTTTAATCATTTCTTCCAATTTCCTTATTTAATAATCATAATTATTATTTGGATTTGAAATTTAAAATCCAATTTTAAATTTCAACTATTAATTAGTAATTCCATTAATTACTAAATTAATATCCAAAATTTAATTAATCAATCCAATTGATTAATTTAATATATTCTATAAATTGACATCTAACCAAATTAGATTAGTCCATTAATTCTAACTCTTTAGAATTACTATTTGAATTTTACCTTCATTCAAAAATTGGTGTGACCTTTTAGGTTCACAATTAATACTAGTAGTGGGTTTACAACTCTTTGTAATTTGAGTTAATCTTTATTAACTCTTATTCATGAATTAACCCCTTAATTCATGAACCCACATATCATGGGAACACCTAGCAAGTAGCATGAATATAGTATTAAGTGAATAGCGAGTAAACCTATTTCGATTACAATTACATACATGTAAAATCCTCTCGACATCCAATTTCCCGATTAAATCTTGGGTATGATTTTAGTCGAAACCGAAATTGATTTAATAACTATGATTCCATTTCAAGTTTAGTAATTCGTTTATGAATCTCTATTCACCCCGTCTTGGCCAAGGACTTTGAATTACTAATCATGAAACACATAGGAAATTCACTTATCTTCATAAGTGTCGAATCCTTTGTTGGCCACTAACAAACTTCCATACATATTAACATAATACCCAAAATATCCTTTATACGATTGTGCTAGCAACCAAAAGGATAAATCAAAGTAGAATGTAATATGC